CTTGGAGCCGAGTGTGGGAGCAGGGAGGAGGAGGGAAGAGCAGGGAGACTGTGCTGGGGGTGTGCCAGCTCTCACTCAGTGAGGTGGGACCCAGCCCAGAACTCGGAGCAGATTGAACGTTTCAGCCATCACTGTGACACACATACGTTAGGGATGAGGGTGGCAGCAGGCCAGTCAGGGAGCAGGCACTGAAATGATGGTGGTTTGGATTGGGGAAATGAGGCTGTCTGTTTCCAGAAAGGTTTACAGTCTTGAAAACCCTAAGGAACAGTTTCACTCTGCTGTCCTGTAGGGTTGCTGTGATTCAGAACTGACTCCTGGGGTGTGTGTTTGGTTTTGGTGGATTTGGTACAAGTCAAAGTGCTGGGAAGTGGACAGGTTCTAGAAGTGTTTCAAGGATAGCCAGTGGAATGTTCCTGATGGATTGGAAGTGGGGTGTGAGAAAGCGTTTTGACCTGAGCAACTGGAAGGATAGAGTTGCCTCTAAGATTGAAAAAATTGTGGGTGGAACAGGTTGGGAGAGTGATCAGGAGGTTAGTTTGTAAGTTTGAGAAGGCCGGTAGTCACCCTTGGGGAAACTTGCAGGGGCGGTATAGCACAGCTGAGTCTGGGACCTGGCTGGAGAAGCTCCCGGTGTTGGTCTTCTAGATGGGTGCTTACAGCAAAGACAAGCTAGGGTGACCTGGGGAGAGCACGTGCTGCACACTGAGTCCTAATGCAGACCCAGGGGGCTGGGAAGGGAGGCCTGTAATATCCAGTGCCCTGGCCACCTTTCCTGGGCCCCCTTCTATTTTAGGGCTCCGTCCCAAGGGACTAGGAAGCTTTGTTCAGCCCCACTGCAACTAATGATAGCCTGGCCTGCCAGGCCATTTAAAACCAGCTCCGCTATTTTTACTGGCAAGCTAGCCAACTGGCCAGTCCTTCCCAGCATGGGATGATTGTAGGAAACCAAGGTCTTAGACTGGGAAGATGGGTGATTGTCGTAAATCATAACCTGCGATTTGGCAGGATGTATCCATAGAACCTTCCAGGGGTTGCCGAGCATTACCTTTACATAGTGATCTGAATTTAGAGATAATTGTACCCTTGCCAGCTGGACTTGAAGGGAATTGCTCAGTCTCTCCACCCGATTCTCACCAGTGTCTCCGGAATGGGGAGGCCTCTGTCCCCAGGAGAAAAGGTCACAGAGAGGACTGGTGTGACCATTTCCATAGGCCAAGTCCAGAGTGGAGGAGAGCTTCTCATACCCATAAGGACATTTCTCCTGAACGCTTTCACAGGAAGTAGTTTAAATAGCTCTTACCGGGAGGAAATGGTGATGATTTCCTTTCCTCCTTTCTAAGAAACCATTTTTTAAAATAGCACCAGGCCTTTGGATCGAGACTGAAGAAGAACAGAAGCAGCCTAGGGGGTAGGGTAGAGGCTTTGGGTGATACAAAGGATTAACACACTTAGCTTAGCTCCTGACGTGCATTCGAGTCCACCTAGGGGTGCCTCGGAAGAAAGATGTGGCAGTCTGCTTCTCAAAGATCACAAGAAGCACGTTCAGGGGTGGGATGAATGCTCAGGTGCAGTGCCACCCCAGAATCTCTGTCCTTCAGGTAAAAGCCGGCTCATAGTGACACTAGAGGACAGAGGAGAACTGCTCCCACCCCCACCCCCCCGAGTTTCTGAGATGGTCAGTCTTCATGGAAACAGACACCTCATCTTATTCCCCTGGAGCAACTGGTGGGTTCCAATAGACAGGGTTGTATTGTATCGTCCACAGTTGGTATTTAAGCAAATACAGTTTTTTTTTAGTAAATACGTTTTAATTTCTAAAGAAGATGGCATTCTCATTTTGTAAAATTTGGAGCACTTTGCTTGATTGGTCTGGAAGAACTAGTTAACCCACCCGTACCCCTGCCCTCCTCCTCCCTGCAGCAGTCATGGGCTGTTCTTAGTCTCAGAGCCACCAGCTGCTTGTCTGCAGCGTGAGTCTCAGCCCAGCATCTATACTCCTCCTGTACCTGCCCTCCCGCTGCTCCTCCACTCTGTCCACCTGCTAGGCCCCCTTCTTGACCCCTTTCCTGCTCTGCAGGGGCCCTCCTTCTCTGAGAACAGCACACCAACCGGCCTCCTCTCCTCTCCTCCTCCTTGTTGGGTGTCATCCAATTGATGCCAATTCATAGCATTGCACCATAGGGTTTCCCCAGAAGGTTTTCTTGGCTGTACCTGAACCACCTCAAATAATCCAGCTCTTTGCCCTCCTTCTTGTTCACTTGAAGCAGTGGCTTGTTGCTTTGCAGTTACCTGTGACCCGGAGCAGAGGGCCTGAGGCTACCTCATCATTGGTAATGGGCATGTTGTAGCCTCTCATCCCTGACTTTATTGAGTAATCCTTGTCCGGTAATCTTGGGGAGCTGAAGCAACAGAACCAGCTTGTGGGACCCCTGGATTGGAGCCCCAGCTTGTCTTCCTGCACTTGGAGTGCCTGCCCTGGTCCCCTCTGCTTACTCAGTGCAACCAGCTATCCCCGTGCCACACCCCTCCACTTCCAGATGGCATAAATGGCTGACTTTGCAAGTTGCAGTTCCCTCGAAGGAGCCTGGGAGGAAAGAAAGATGAGCCAACCAAGAAAGCACTGATGGCTGGGGGTGGGGTGGGGTGGGGGAATGTGTCACAGGCCCACTCTGGTCCTGAGTCTTAGGCCTGTGGATAATGTCCCATCTGGGTGATGAGGCCACACCTGGGCACCATCCCACAGCAGCTGAGGGGGAGACACAGATGTAGGCAGATGCTGTGGGTCTGTGTGGAAGGGTTCCCAGCTGTGGCACCCCCCTCCCCCCACTCTTGCGGAGACCAGCACTTCCTGGCTCCCAGAGGCTGGGACTTGCTGCCACCTCCCATAGAAACTGGTGCCTGGGAGAGCAGCCCTGAGCCTGGGTCTCTCCCTGGAGGAGTAAGAACTGCTGGGGGCCTGGTGGTGTGGGCATCCAAACATCCTTTCACTCTCCATGAGGCATGGGGTTGGCGTGGGCTGGGTAGCAGCATATCTGCCCTGGGTTTGAGAAGGAGTGTCAGGCATAGTAGACTGTCCCCAACCTGCCCCCAACCCCGTCTCCCCTGAGCACTAGTCTCCCATGAACCTTCTCTTAGCCCATTTCCCGAAAAACCTCTGTGGCTATAAGCCCTGGCCACAGCGACTACCTGAGAAGTTGCTCTTTTTTTTTTTTTAAACCAATTAATTCCCCACCCCACCCCCTTTGGTGGTGGTGGTTGAGAATATTCACAGCAGAACATACACCAACTCAACATGTACAGTTTGTTGCTGTTATTGTTAAGTGCCATCGAGTTTGTTCCGACTCCTATCAACCCCATATAGGGTTTCTTAGGAGCAGCTGGTGGGTTTGAACCGCCAACCTTGAAGTTCAAACTGACCTTGTAGTCCAGTTTATCTTACCGGTTATGGTCCTCGAGTTGTAGGAGCATTCTTACTCTCCTTTTCAGAATTGCTCCTCTCCCATTAACATAAACTCACTGTTCTGTAAGTTTATTATCTGATGAGTTAATGTCAGGTAAATCACAAAAGAGTACAGTGTGCAAGGCAGACGTTCTTTGCCAATTAAGCGAAAGAAACATTTATTTGATGAAGACTTGGGGGATGTATTTTTGATCTTTAAGATTCAAAGATGATCTCAGTGCAATAGTTCTGGGTTTGTCTTCTGGTCTACATCCCACCCCCCTTTTGATCAGGTTTCTTTTGTAGAATCTTTGCTCAAAGTGTTGTGTAACTACTCAGGAGTTTTGATTAATCCTGATGCCCAGGCCCCACCATTTAGAAGGTCTCAGTGGATTGATCTGGGCTGGGACCCAGTCATCTACATTTTGCATGATCCTCAGGGTTGTGAACCACTGACCCTAGAGGATAAACTTTCAGGTTACTTGGTTCTAACCCCCCAGTTTCCCTTCTTGTCCCTCACAAGCTCCCATGCCAGGTACCACCTTTGCTGCAGTGCTGTTTCCTCATTCCAAATCTAACTAGGTTGTAGGCCCACCCAGCCACCGTGCCTCATGGAGCCATCCCTTCACTTAGCCTTACTGCCCCTTACTCTCCGACCAGGCGGCCTGGTACCATGTTCACAGTAGTTGCTAAGATTGCTAATTACAAAGACCCTCACAGTGTGAGTAAGCCCCACTTATACCTGAGACCCCTGTTCCAAGGAGTGCCTCATTTCTTGCCGTGGGGCCTTTCTGTTACAGGGTCAGTAAGTCTTGAAACCTGTGACAAAAACAAACAAACAAACAAAAAATCTGAAACAGACAAAGAAGCCAGTCAGGGACCAGATAGGGTCAGATACCAAGATGGGGCCCCTCCCCTTCCAGTCTGAGATGGGATCCCCCGCCTGGGTCCAGACTGAGCTGAAGATTGGGCTGAAAAGATTGGGCAGAGGGCAGAGTTGTTAGGTGTTGTTGAATCAGTTCCCATACACGACAGGACGCAACACAGCCTGCTCCTTCACCGTCCTCACTGTTGTCACGTTTGAGCCCCTTGTTGCTGTCATTCTGTCAGTCCGTCTTAGAGGGGGTTTTCTTGTTTTCGTTGACCCTCCATTTTACCAGACATAACATTGTATCCAAAATAAAGAGATGCAATCTTGCCATTTCACTTCTAAGGAGCATTCTTCCAAGATAGACTTGTTTGTTTCTCTGTCAATCCCTGGTACTTCACCAACATCTGAACTCAAATGCTTCCATTCTTCTGTGGTCTTCTTTATTCATTGTCCAACTTTCACATGCATATGAGGTGATTGAAAAGACCATGGCTTGGTGTATATGAGGGGCTTCAAAAAGTTCCTGGGAAAATTCTGTTGTCTTTTAACTCCACAAACTTTTCAAGTCTCCTAGTGTGTGTGTGTGTGTGTGTGTGGAGGGGGGTCACAGACAGGTGGCAGATATCAGTGTAACATCTCTGCCCCTTTTACCCCTCTCCACACTAACTGCCCTGTGACCTCCACCAGGTAAAGGCCGCCAAAGAGGAGCAGGTGGCCCGGCGGCTGCAGCTGAGGAGTCTGCAGTACCTGGAGCGTTACATCTACCTGATTCTCTTCAACGCTTACCTCCACCTGGAGAAGGCTGCCTCCTGGCAGAGGCCTTTCAGTGCCTGGATGCGGGAGGTGAGAGGGCCCCTGCTGAGTAGTGGGAGCTCCCGTCTCAGTGTCTGGATTGGGTAGTCAGTGGGTCTGAGGCTGAAGAGTGAATGGCTGAGTAAATGTAGAGGAAGGAGGAGACAGGTGTGTTGGACAGTAGCATCAAGTGCCCAGTAGGGTCCCACAGGGGCATGAGTTCTCACTGCCCCCAGGGGACAGAAGAAAGTGAGGCGGTCTTACCTGGCTCGGTGTGCCTGTTCCGGTGGTGAGCCCTCCCCACTGCAGGGCAGCAGGGTGGCCAAGGGCCCTGTTTCCACCACAAGCAGGCTAGTGAACTCCCCTGGGACCTGACTCTCCTCAGTTCTGAACGTGACTAACATCAGTAGTGTTGTTACACCACTGCAAAAGGCTGTGGTGGGGATTCAGTGAGATGAATGGGGTGCCATCTGCCAGGGGAGGGCGCCTTAAATGGTGACTGTTGTTCTCTCATTTTACAGAGGACACAGCTGAGTAGACAGATCAGTAACTTGTCCAGGGTCAGCGTCAGAGCTGGCTGGCTGACTCCAAAACCCCCACGTTCGTGCTTACGATGCTGATGTCTTCCCTCCTGGCCCGGTGCTCCTTCCAGCGTGGTGGTTTTCAGAGGCAGTATTGTCTCCTGGCCCCTTTCGGTCAGGAGAGAGGCCTCTTTTGTCCCCTCGCTCAGCAGAACCACCTGTAATTATCCCTCCTCCAGGAAGCTGACCCTTCCTGACCTTGCCAGCCCAATTCTCCAGGCTGGAATTAGCTCCTATGGGGCTGTGGGCAGATCACAGGCGGCATGAGAGCAGGAGAAACAGGAAGAGCCGGGGTGAGACAGTTGTGGGGTGGACTCTGAGCCACAGGGAGGACACTGCCATGCAGAGGCAGGAATAGTGGTGGCCATGGGACAGCATTGAAATGACCCCTCATGAATGTGACAGAGAGGAGCCAGGAACCCTGTCAGGGTCACACCAAGACCACGTCACAGCCAACCCTCCTAAGTCGGCGTAGGCTCAGTTTCCTCATTGAGCCCTGGGTGGGGCTGGAGGTGGTGAGGAGCTAGGACAGTTTCTGCTTGGCTTCTATTTGGAGAGTGCAAATTGGAGGAGCCAGGGCTAGGGAGGAAGCTGACCCCCTTCCAGCTGAGTCTAGACGGTGGGCATGGGGGTGCTAAGGGAGGAGAGAGCTGCTGGCTCAAGCAGGAGAGTGGGTTCCAGCCCCCTTCCTGGGGCTGAGTAGAGGGTGGGGCAGGGGTTTCCCAAGGACAGGACAGGAGGACAAGTTAGTCCCTTTGTTCCCTGAAGAGCTGACATCCTGGCCATCTCCCAGGTGACTGAATGGTTTGTGTCTGGTGCCAGGACCTGGCCATCTGACTCACAGTGGGCCTAACAGTCTGACCCACACCCCAAGGGCCTCAGGCAGCTTCTGCAGCCATGCGATCTTTCTCAGCCTTCCTGCAGGTCCAACTGAGTACCCAGAGTGATCCAGGAGTGTGGGGACCACACAGGCCAGAGCAGGTGCTCACCCTGTACACCCCCCCCGACTGGACAGGGATGGTCATTGTCCATCTGCCCAGCTCTTACTGTCTGCTGAGTGCTGGCTATGCTGTTAAAAAAGAAAAAGTATTATGGCTCACAAACAAACACAAAATTTCCCATTTTGACCAGTTTTAATACACAATTCAGTGGCATTAAGTACATCACACACAATGTTGTGGAAATATCACCATAGTCTGGTTCCAGGTCCTTTTCACCATCCTGAACAGAATTTGTTCCCATGAGTCCATATAATGTAACCCTGCCAACGACACTCCTAAAAGCAAGAGACTGTGTTATAAGGAAACGAAAGCTAACAGGATCCAAAACGCAAACTTGCTCAGGTTGTGGAGCCGCTAGGACTCAGCGCAGCCAAGGAGGGGAATTGTGAGGAAGCAGGCCAGGGCTGACGGTGCCCCCATGTCTGCTCTTCTCCCAGGTGGCGTCCAAGGCTGGCATCTATGAGATCCTCAACCAGCTGGGCTTCCCTGAGTTGGAGGACACAGAGGGTCAGCCCTTGTCTCGGCTCCGATACCGGTGGCAGGAATGGAGCCGAAGCCCTGAGCCCCCTACTGAGGACTCCCTGTAGGGGGCACTCCTCCCTGCCACTGGCACCCCTTGCAAGCCCCCACGTTTGCTTGCTAAGAGCTCCAGGTGCTTATTCCTTGGAATGGCCCCAAGGGATCCTGGCCTCGAGAAAAAGATTTCTCAGCTTCCTGGAAGGAAAATAGGGTAGGGTTTGGACCCTTTTATGAAAGAACTTTTTATAGGGACATTTACCCCACATAGTCATGCCTTGAAAATGAGAGAGGTGTGTGTGGGGCTCTCTAGGAAGGCCACATGTGTTCACTTCACAGATGGCTGGGCCCTTGTCCCGGGGAGCTCACTCCACCAACGGCCAGGAGAGCTAGTCCACACTTGTGTCCCCTCCTCACCCCTTTGGGAAGAGAGTGGGCCTTCCATTTATTCTCTTGCCTTACTTCTCCTTTGCCCATCCACTTTTGCTGCCAGAACCCTGCCCTTTGACCCCCTGGCTGACTGGGACACCTGGTGTGGGTTTCTTACTTAAAAGGCAGCTTTATAGTCGCTTCTCTCGCTCCATCTCTAACCTGGGAGACTTCCAGAAGGACAACTGTGTGGCCTGGTGGGTCCTGGTGAGGCCCTTGCTTCTTCCTTCCCCTGGGGCTCGCAGGACTGGGGAGGTTCCTTGAAGAAGCCGGAAACATATCTGGGAAGGAAAGAGTTGTTCCACAGGTGATGGATGGAGCGCCGTGAGAGGGGCCTCCCTGACTTGCCTGCAGTCTGAGCGAGAAAGCCAAAGCCTCCAACTGCAGGTCCACCTGTACCTCCTGCCTGTGCCCACAGCTCAAGATGGCTCTGTAGCCTCATCAACTGCCACAGGAGCCCCAAAGCTTGCTGAGCTCCAGAGTGAACATGGAGTGTGTGAGAAAGTCACTTCAATTCCAGGCCGTCCTGTCTCAGAGCCCCTGAGCCGCCTCCAGTGGGCTGAGCTAGAGGCCACTGTGCTCCACTGCCCACCTCCTAACGGAGTCTGCAGATCTCCCGGCAGGGAGTGGTGGTAACTGAAATACAGGCGTTGAATAGCAGGCAGGCTGTCCACCTAGCCTGGACTCATCAGGGCAAGGAAGCCTCTCTTTGACTTCATGCTTCTGCAGGCAAACAGAGGGGCCATTGGTCTGGATGTTTTAAAAGGCTGACACTGTTCACACCAATCCCCTGTTGGAAAAGATTTGACTATCTTGGCTGAATTCTTTTTGCAAAACTACTGTATGTTCACCACCTTTTCAGATGTATTGTAGTTCTGTTTGCATGTTGTAAGTCTTCACAGACAGGGTCTTGATGAGGATGAGAGCAGGGATGAGTGGGAAGGCTCTTAACGTGTTCTCATGGTTGACCCTGACTTTTTGCTATGCTGGGGCCAATGGCTGGTTATGGCACCTCTCTGCCTCAGTTTTCCCATCTGTAAAATGGGAGACTAATACTTGCCTACCTCACAGGGATGTTGTGAGGATTGGTTTGTGAGTTGTTTTTGATTTTGTAATTTTGTACAGAGCTTCTAAGCATTAAAGATGGCTAAATCTGAAATGTGCTTGGTTTTGGATTTGTCTTTAGCCTAGGGCAGCTGTTGTAGGCCTGACCGGCGGGGGCCCCTGTTCCGAGGAAGAGTGGGAAGGCAAGGTGGGTCCAGAGCACTTATTTTGCACATGGTCTTCATTCTCAGAGAAGATGGGCCTTTCTAGAACCAGGGTGAGTCAAAATGATATTTTATTGTGCTTTGTGTGAAGGTGTCCACAGCAGTTTAGATTTCCATTCAACCATTTCTCCACATTGTTCAGTGACACTGCTTAGTCTTTACAACGTGTGAACATTGTCATAATTTCCATTCTGCTTGGTCTGTTTTTGTTAATCTAGTTTCTCCAGTTTCTCTGTCCCCTTACATTCTCGTCATTACTGACTGTTTTGTCCATTGTAAGAGCACAGTACTTCTTGGAGTCCTGGGGTGATATTTATGGGTAGTAGTGTTTTTTTAAGTCAATTTGTTATTTAGCTACAAGGTGAGCTCAGGGGTTCAATTTTTTTTAAAAATTCCATTTTATCATGGGTACATGTAAGGACCACTAGTGACACAGTGGAATATGAGTTGGACTGCTAACCAAAAGGTCAACAGTTCAAACCCACCAGGTGCTCTGTGGGAGAAAGATGAGACAGTCTGCTTCCATAAGATTTTCCATCTCAGAAACCCTACGTAGCAGCCTGTTCTGCCCTATAGGGTTGCTGTGAGCCCACATTGGCTAGATGGCAGTCGGTGAGTTTGCCATGTTGACCATCCTTAAGTATCCAATTCAGTGGCACTATGTTCATGATGTGTGTTACCACCAACACTATCCATTTCCAAAAGTTTTCATCACCTCAAACAGAAACTTTGTACCCCTAAACTCTTCCATTCCCCCCTGCCTTCAGCCCTTGGTGACCTAAAATAAACTTTGATCTCTATATAATGACATGTTGTAGGCATTTCATATAAATGGGAACATACAATATTTGTCTTTTGTGTCTGCTGATTTCATTCAGAATAATGTTTTCAAGGTTCATCCATGTTGTCGGAGGGATCTGGCTAAGTCATACTGCATTGTGTAGGCATGCCACGTGTTGTTGATCTAGTCATCTGTTGATGGACACTTGGCTTGTTTCCACCTTTTGGCTCTTGTGAAGAATGCTGCAGTGAACGTTGGTGTACAAATCTCTGTTTGAGTCCCTGCTTGCCAATCCTCTGCGTCTACAGCTAGACGGACTACTGGGTCCCACGTTAATTCTAGATTGAACAGTTTTGAGAAACTGCCAAACTGTTTTCCATTGTGGCTGCACCATTTTACGTTCTCACAAGTAATAAAGGAAGGTTGAGGTTTCTACACATTCTCACCAAGACTTGTTAGTTTCCTTTTGCTTTTAATAGCCATCCTAGTGGCTGGGAGGTGGTCACTCTGGTTTGTCATGACGTCTAGGTTAGATGAACCTTAGCTTCAGTTCAATGGGATGCTGTTTGATTTAGGGTTATGATGGGTACCTGCAGTGTATGTGTGGTGTGAAGGTGCAGGCAGGTGAGTGCACATGCAGGTAGCAGTGAGCAGTGATTTAACACAAACTGGGCAGCTCAGGGCACCAGGCTCCATGCTACTGTCGGGAGCTGGGTGTCTGCCTGCCCTCCTGGACCCCATCATCCCTGCGAGGGCTAGTGGATGCTAGGAGGACTTCTCACAGAGCTCACTGAATAAGATAGTGTGGATGTCCTGGACCTGGGGACCAGGTGGGGAGAGTAAGCAAGCACCAGTGACACGGCTGGTTGCAGTCTAAGCTCTTCACCTTACTGGCCCTCCCTTCTGCTGGCCAGACCACATTAACTGGCTATCTCTGGGAAGGGGTCAGATTCCATGAGGAGATCTGGAAGATGGTGAACTAAGCAGCCCACCCAGATGCTACCTGCCTGTCCAGCAGTGTACATCCTGGAGACCCAGAGATCTCTCCCCAAGTTCACTTGCAGGATCAGCGTGGTTGTATCTTTTCACCTGGGTGGGAAAATCACTCGGCATTGTGAAGGCTCTAAGAATATCTTTATCTCTTCTACTCCCATTTCCCTTCCTCTGATTATAAAAGGTACCATTGTGACCAGAGTTATCTTCTTTCTCTGTATGTAGTTTTTATGTACATACATATATAAATGCATTAAAAAAAAAAAAAAATATATATATATATATATATATATATATGAAACTCTGGTAGCATAGTGGTTACAAATCGGGCTGTGAAAAGGTCAGCGGTTCGAAACTACCAGCCGCTCTGCAGGAGAAAGATGAGGCTTTCTACTCCCGTAAGGATTTACACCCTCGGAAACCCTGTTCAGGGTCGCTATGGATCAGAACCGACTTGATGGCACTTAACAACAAATGTATGGTCTACAAGTTGCTTTTTGTACTTGAAAGTATGCCTTGGAGAATTTTATTTCCCAAACCTTAGATGGTCTGCATTGTTTTTAACTGCTGAATCACACCAAACATGTCGTTTCCATCATGGTGATACTCACTGTGGAACTCAGTATGGTGGGAGGTCAGAAAATACACAGAATTTCCACATTGTTGGTTGTTGCTGTTGCAGATCACTAGCTCTGACTTCTGAGTCACCTCTAGGTGGGTTTGAACTACCAGCTTTTTGGCGAGTAGCTGAGCACTTAACTGCTGTGCCACTCAGCGACTTTGGGAGTTACCATATGACTCAGCACTCCCATTCCTAGCTAACTACCCCCAAAGTCTTGAAAGCAGGGGCTCAGACAGATAAGTACATACCAGTGTTCATTATACTCACAAATGGAGACCACCCAAGTGTCTTATCAGCATATGAATGAAGAAACAAAATGAAATATTATTCAGCTATAGCAAGAAATGGAGTCTAGGTGTGGCGCTGTAGGATAAGCACTGGACTGTTAATCACCATGTTTGCAGTTCAGATCTACAAGCTGCTCCTTGGGAACGCTATATGGGTTTGCTATGTGTTGGAACTGACTCCATGACACTTAACAACTATCTCGTTAGTGCTTATTCCTTCCTCCTCCTCGCCTTCCTAGTAATAATCATCAAAGAATGATCTTGGTCTCTTCCTGCTGGGAGCAAAGGAAGGAAAACAAAGACTGAAGACAGCAGTTAGTCCACAGCCTCCTCTAACCTGAGACCGGAAGAACTAGGTGGTACCCAGCCACCACTACCAATCACACTGACTAATTGTTGTTGTTAAGAGCTGTCACGTCAGTTCCGACCCATAGTGACTCTGTGGGGTTTCTGAGGAGCAGCTGGTGAGCTTGAACCACTGATCTTGTAGTTCAAACAACTTTTCAGTCCAATGCATTAACCCATAGCACCACACCAGGACTCCAGACTACAATAGAAGGTTCTAATTAGAATGGGCATTTGAATCTGACCATCACATGGTTTAATATGCCGGGAATGACAGATCGAGGAGGAATGGCATTGCATTCATCATCAAAAAGAGCATCTCAAGATCTATCTTGAAGTACAACCT